ATATACTTTTATAATATATAATATAATATATATATAATATATATTATATATATTATATATTATATAATATATATATATATATATAATATTATATATAATATATATACATATATAATATTATATGTAATATATATAATGCTACAGTAATTTACTATAGATTTTACTACAGCATGAACAATGATAATTTACTGCAGCATTTATCAAAGCATGAACAGTGTTTCTTGAGTCCTCCTATAATTATAGAGGAATAGATGTATTAATCTTATATTATAAGGGGGTGTTTGTTTCAGTTTTTTTTTTGGCATATGGGCTGGATTTTAACTTTTGGGATGTAAAAAGGAATTTTTTTGAGTTTTGGAATTCCATAACCATGTTTGTTTCAAAAAAATTTTTGGCATATTGAATCCTAAAAACATAAAAAACTAATTTATTTTGGCATTTGAGAAATCCTGTTTTTGAGAGGGGATATGGGCTGGATCTCTGACAAACCAAGTCCAACTCAGCCAACTCCGCTCCTAATCCCCAAAACCGATCGCAGACTCTTCCATTACAGTCACCGCTTCCCTCTCCCATTTTCGTCTCCCTCCTCTTTTACCCGCCGTCTCATTTTTTGCGCGAAAACCATAGATCTCCTTCCCTGTCTCTCCGCCTCTACAACGCCACCCCCTCCCTCCTCTAGAAATACTTAGGGCTTGTGGCTGACGGGGAGGGAAAGAATTTTCCTCGCTTGGCACCTGAAAATTCGCAGGAAAGCTAGGGTTAGGGTTTCGATTCTGCTCCTCTTCGGCGAGTGCATGAGCCTAGTCTTCAGGTATAGTCTATCTTTTGGTGTTTACTTTCTGAGATCTTTGTAGAAAGTTGGTTGGTGTTTAATTTCTGAGATCTTTGTAGAAAGTTGGTGATTTTGGCGTGTTTTGGGGATTTATCGGGGGGATTTTAGCTGGTAGTGTTGGATTTTTTAAGAAATCTAGGGTTTAAGCTGGCGAGTTTTGTAAATTTCGGCAAAGATTGCTTTGAAGTTCTGAGTTGATCTCATAATTCATCAAATCTGGGGTTTTCTGGCAGAAATATGGGTAATTTGATTGAAGCTATATTTGATTGATTCTTGTGATTCCTGTTTAACAAAGTTATATCCTGTCTTTCATTTTATGTCAGAAAGGGATGAGAATGAGCAGAGATTCCTGTTTGGTTAGAAAGTTATATACTGTCTTTAATCTTTGAAAATTTTATAAACTTTTAGTGAAAATCATTCATTTTTAACATAATGGAATCCTTAAGCACCCTGTTTCTTAAGCACCATGTCTCCATTACTAAATAGTAGACATATTTGAGGGACTAATTCATGCCAGAAGCTTTAAAAAAGGCATATTAGAACATTGCATTCATAATTTTAGTTTATTGGAATTTGTTAATTAAGATTAATTACACTTAACTTGAACATTGTTGGTTTCTATTTACTATATGAGCACTTGTTTAAGATTGATGCATAGTATTTATATGTGGAATCTCTTCTTAAAACAATGTAGATGGACGATATTGATGAAGAGATGTTAATGAGGATGGCTTCTAATGCTACTATCTCTGCGGTGATTTGTGTGTTTGCTTGTTTGATGAGGATACGTAGTAGAAGGAAATCAATCACTTATCACCCTAAGATGAAAAATAAAGAGAAGATAGACTCTAGAGTTAGGCACATAAGTCGTGTGTTTCATGGCTATGATGAGAGTTGTAGGGCTTATGTTAGAATGAGGCCGCGTGCATTTCATAATCTTGTTAGAATAATGAGATATACCGGCCTACTAAAAGATTCACGGGGTGTTAAAGTAGAAGAACAATTGCTCATGTTCCTTAATATATTAGGCCATAAAACAAGAAATAGGATTGTTAGGTCACATTTCATAAGATCGGGGGAAACCGTTTCAAAATATTTTAACAAGTGCTTGGAAGCCGTTGGTCGTTTAAGGGGGCGGTACATGAAGCAAGCACCAAGTGAAGTATCGTCAGAGATTGCCACTAACCCGTTATACTATCCTTATTTCAAGGTAATCATTATTATAACATAACTACTCATAATATAACAGTCAATTTTACCTTTCTATTATTATTAACTGTTTAATTATTAATAACTGTTTAATGTATCATATAGGATTGCATTGGCATGATAGATGGAACCCATATCGACGCCATGCTTCCCGCTAGCCTTGTTGCACGTTTTAGAGGTCGTAAAGGTGTAACTCAAAATGTTCTAGCTGCATGCACTCCTAGCAAGTTATTTTCGTATGTTCTAGCTGGATGGGAGGGATCCACAAATGATTATAGAGTTTTGCAAGACGCGTTATCTAGACCACAACCTCGTGGATTGAGAGTTTACGACGGTAATAAATCCTTCAAATAAAGTATGTCTACTTAATTACAATTAAAAAATATACTAAATTTATTTTTGGTAATTGTAGGAAAATATTATTTGTGTGATGCGGGCTACACTACTATGCATGGCTTTATCTCCCCATATCGAGGAGTGCGGTATCATCTAAATGAGCACAAGGGTAGGCCAATCAATAATAGACAAGAGTTGTTCAATTTAAGACACTCATCCCTAAGGTCTAAAATTGAATCAACTTTTGGGGTATTAAAAAATCGTTTCAAAATCCTATCCGCGAAGCCACATTACCCTTTTCCAACTCAAGTTGATATAGTTATTGCATGTACTATACTTCATAACTATATCGCCATAGAAGACCCGGGCGATGAGTTGTTGCATGAGGACAACCATATTGAAGAGGATGGAGATGAAATAGCAAATGAAGGTGAAGAGGGTGTTGTTGACTTTACTCAAACTATGACACAGAGAGAGGAAAGAGATTCAAGAAATGAATGGAGAGCAAAGAGGGATCAAATTGCAATTGAAATGTGGGAAGATTATTGTGATAAATATCATGGTGGAGACACAACCAAGATTGGGATGTAATTTAAGTTATATTTTCCATGTATTATTATACTCGTTGATATATTGTCTACTACCTCTATGTATTCATTGATATTACAACAATACTCATGGATAAATGAGTATATTATCATTTTGAATGCTATTTTGGATTAAATCTAACATATTGAACAGTTTAGAGAGTAGAATTCTGATTTGTGTTCTTGGGTCCATCTTGCTTGTTTGTGGCTACATTGCACGATATGTATTGGTATGGCTATTTTGTATTGTTGAATTTGGGCAATGATGATGGTCATATTATGAGAATGCAATCTACAATGTTTTGCTATGTTTAGGTAGGGCAATCTAGGATGAGAATGCAACCTAACATTGTATTTACAATGTTAGGTGAGGCAATCCATTCATGTGATTGCAACCTACATTGCAACATCATTGTTAGATGAGGCAATCCATGTATTCAATTTTAATATATGTATCTGAGCCCCTACCTTGGTCCTATTATGAGTTTTCTAAGGGTTCCTTGTCTGAGCCTTGGGTTGGGTGCTTGTCGGATGCATCCATAGGTGCGGGAGATCTGTGGGTGGTTGTGTGTTTGCATTGGGGGGTGCATGTGGTCGTGTGATTGTACAGGTGTGCATTTGTATTTGTGTGCGCGCGAGTGTATGCATGAATGTGTGTGCTTGTGGCTGTTATGTGTTGGTGTTCAGGTGCGTGGGTATGTGTAAATTATCTGTGCATGGATGTGTTGGTGGGTGGGTATACATATGCAATTAACCCTTTCCAATATTGAACAGTTCAGAGAGTAGAATTCTGATTTGGATACAAGTGTGCAAATTATCTTGATCCATGCAGGGCAGAGGGGAGCACAAAAAAATTTTCAATAAATATTTGCTGGGAAGCTGTCTTCATGATCAGGGAGTTTAATCTCATATTACTAATTATCTTACTCAGCCTGCTTCAAATCTTCTAATTCACACAGCTCTCTATGTGATGCAACTTTCAGAGGCAGTGTCATTGGTATAGCTAGGTGATAATACCAGGATGCGATGTTTTCTGGGATGGTTAATGTGGTTCGAGGTCTTTGATTATTGTTAAACACGACTATTTCAGATATATCTTGCTAATGTGAATGAAGAAATATGCATGTCATCTATTCTGTACTTGTTTAAGTGGCTTGGTTATCTTGCATCTTATAATTTTACTGAAGAAGTATATATAATTTTCATCTATTCTGCGCTTTGTATGTACGTTTGATTTTTTTCTCCAGTGAATTGCTATGCGTTGTTTGCTTATGTATAACTGTGCAATTGTATTTGTTTTTTTGTGGGAGGTAAGCTCACCAAAGTTCTTATATTCACCATTTATTATTTTGGTAATCCTAAAACTTGTTTGTTAAATTTATGGATTTCAAATTCTAAAATTTGTAATGCTACAATTTGAGTTTGAAACAAACAAGAATTTACAAATTATAGCATTCCAAATCCCAAAATATTGATGAAACAAACAAAGTTTTAGGAATCCCAAAACCTACCAAAAAATTTATGGATTTCAAATCCCATGTGAAATCCATATCCATAAATTTTGGGATTTGAAACAAACACCCCCTAAGCATTAATACATCAATATCCAACCTACATCCTCTCTCAATTGTAGGATTTCACAAATTCTAAAATATAATAGTTTTTTATTATTTGGGGATTCAATATCCCAAAATTGGTTTTGAAACAAACATTGTTTATGGAATTCTGAAACCCAAAAAACTTGTAATCCACCTTATATCCCAAAAAAAGGTTGAAACAAAAGAGAGGATTTCACAAATCCTAAAAATATATTATTTGTTTATAATTTAGGGATTCAATATCCCAAAATTAATTTTGAAACAAACAAAGTTCATGGAATCTCAAAACTCAAAAAGAGCACTTTTTACATCCCAAAACTTGAAATCCACCTTATATCCCAAAAAAAACAAAACAAACACCCCCTAAGTCTAGGGGGCACCAACTATCAGAAAATTCTTCTTTAGATAAATTTCCCCTAAAAGATACCAGTTCTTTTACGGATAAAAGAGTAGCTCTCACTCTAAAATAAAATAGAGGCACTAGAGGCACACCTTCAACCACACCACCTCTCTTGCTACAGTGCACAGGATCCACATGAGATTTTAATTTTAAAATCTCATATGGGCCATGTGCACTGTAGCAAAAGAGGTGATGTGGTTAGAGGTGTGGTAGAGGGTGTGACCCTATCATTATTTAAAATAAAATGATCTCAAGGGTAAAATAAAATGATCTCAAGGGGCGAATTTATTAAACAATATAGGGACAGGGTTAATCTGTCGCCAAAAGCGTAGAAATTTGACTATGAACACAGCCTGCGAAACGCATGACAACATCCTTTATGGTATTGAAGGAAGGAGGGTATATCATTCATCCAAAAGCAGACATTAAATTCAACTAACAGGTAAATTGGTTGCAAATGAAGGTATTATTTTGTTAAATCCCAACCAGAACCCTGGACAATGTACAAGTTTCCGTGCCAATATAATTCGATGCGTTCATCACTTAATCTCCAGTGCCTTGGACTTGGCTCAAAATACATAATTAAATATGAGAAGAAATATAACCGCACGCACAACATCAGAGGAGCTTCTTCCTCTCGAAGTAGTTCTTCAAATGCCATAACTGCAACCCTGCTACAGATATACACACACCAAGTGACATGAAACTGAACCAAAACATCTTGGAATTTGTCGATCTGTTCATGTCTTGCATTTCCTCCTCCCTGTAAGAAATAAAGGAAAGAACACGAGAGGAAGCTAGTTATGCACAAACATATTAATCTAATGTAAGAATTAAAGGAATGATCTCAAGAGAAGGCTAATCATGCACAAAGCATATATCCTTGAATTTTAAAAATAGCTAAATTTAAGAAAGGGTTAGTTGCTGATTGACCCCATTTTATCGCGCAGTTAAAAAAAATCTCTCTTTGGTTAAGAGTCAAAATTTTCGCTCAGAGGTTCCATTTGCAACAATAGGACAACAGAGGGTCTATCCGCAACTGGCCAATAGTACAATGCGGTCTTTCCACAATTAACCTTTTAGGATAATATAAGAACAGCAACCAGGAGTATTCCAGCTCCATCCCTATTTGTGTGAATTGCATGATAGACCATCAAAATGAGAGACTTCACACCTATGACATCCACAATGAAACTAACGATAGAACACAGATCATAGAGATTGATTGAAAACTGAAACAAGTCACTGGACAAACCCATCGCCCCTTCTCTGCCTCCACAACCCGTAGCACACAGATTTGGATGCTAGTAATGCATAGGTTTATTCTCATAATTTTGTTAAAATAGTTTCCCCTCCCATCCCCAACCCCTCAAATGTTCCACGCTTTGGAAATTTGCCAAAACCCTGATATGAAGTATTTACTAACCTGCCTTCCAAAATATATGGACACTCGTCACCTTATCCCTTTCAATCACGGCCAGAGAATCAAATCGGAATAACCTTCACCCTTCTCTCAAGATGATTAACAAGTTTAAAATATAATTTTCCTGTGCTATTACCCAAGATTTTTAAAACAAAATAGTTTTTTTTATGGATCAAAGCCCACGATTTTTCATCTAGTTATGTTCTTTTTGATCCAAATCCAATTAATTATGCACACTTAAAAACTCACGATTTTCATGGGTTGTTATCAACTATTTTAAAAAACCGCGATGTGCAAGGGCTATAACCCACGATTTCAATTTTTTTTCCTTTTCGACCCAATGGCAATTGACTATGTATACTTCAACATTCAAGATTTTCATTATCTATTACCCACAAGTCTTCAAATTTAAGAATTATCTATTATCTATATCCTTGAATTTTAAAAATAGCTAAATTTAAGAAAGGGTTAGTTGCGGATTGACCCCATTTTATCACGCAATTAAAAAAAACTCTCTTTGGTTAAGAGTCAAAATTTCGCTCAGAGGTTCCATTTGCAACAATAAGGACAACAGAGGATCTATCCGCAACTAGGCAATAGTACAATGTGGTCTTTCCACAATTAACCTTTTAGGATAATATAAGAACAGCAACCAGGAGTATTCCAGCTCCATCCCTATTTGTGTGAATTGCATGATAGACCATCAAAATGAGAGACTTCACACCTATGACATCCACAATGAAACTAACGATAGAACACAGATCATAGAGATTGATTGAAAACTGAAACAAGTCACTGGACGAACCCATCGCCCCTTCTCTGCCTCCACGACCCGTAGCACACAGATTTGGATGCTAGTAATGCATAGGTTTATTCTCATAATTTTGTTAAATAGTTTCCCCTCCCATCCCCAACCCCTCAAATGTTCCACGCTTTGGAAATTTGCCAAAACCCTGATATGAAGTATTTAGAGCATCTCCAACAGCTTCCCTATTTCTCACTTTTGGAAAATATAGTTAGGTTTTTGGTCCAACAGATTCCCCATCTCATTCCCCAAAATAGGGATGGAGGAGAAAAAATGAGGAAGCTTCCCCAAATCTGCAGCATTCTCTAAATTTTTGAAGGAAAAAAGTGATTCTTTAAAATGGGGAAGCTGTTGGAGTTGGTGTAAAAATAATTTGGAGAATATGACTTTTGCTTTCCTATTTTGAAGAAAATTTTAGAGAAGCTGTTGGAGATGCCCTTACTAACCTGCCTTCCAAACCAAAATATATGGACACTCGTCACCTTATCCCTTTCAATCACGGCCAGAGAATCAAATCGGAATAACCTTCACCCTTCTCTCAAGATGATTAACAAGTTTAAAATATAATTTTCCTAGGCTATTACCCAAGATTTTTAAAACAAAATAGTTTTTTTATGGATTAAAGCCCACGATTTTTCATCTAGTTACGTTCTTTTTTATCCAAATCCAATTAATTATGCACACCTAAAAACTCACGATTTTCATGGGTTGTTATCAACTATTTTAAAAAATCGCGATGTGCAAGGGCTATAACCCACGATTTCAAATTTTTTTCTTTTCGACCCAATGGCAATTGATTATGTATACTTCAACATTCAAGATTTTCATTATCTATTACCCACAAGTCTTCAAATTTAAGAATTTCATTGGCGATAGAGCATGATATTCATCCGTTTTTTATAACCCCAAAGCAATTAATTTTTATTTCTTCAAATTCCACAAATTTCATAGCCTATAACCAATGGTTTTTAATCAATTTCCGTTCATTTTGACCTGATGCCAATTAATTATGCATATATCAAATTTCACGATTTTCATGAGCTATACCAATAGATTTGAAAAATCGTGATTTTCATGCGTTATAATCCATATTTTTTGTCAATTTTTTTAACCCAAAAGCGAATAGTTATGCACACTTCAACATTCACGACTTTCATGGACTACTCTACCCACGCTTTTGCAAGTTTGCAAATTTTATTGCCTATAACCCACAATTTTTGTTACCTTTGACGAAATTATGTTTTATTTCTTCAAAGTAACCGATTTCATAGGCTAGATAAGCCCATAGCCCACAATTTCTTTCAGCCACTTTTCAATCTTTTTAACCCAATCCCAGTTAATTATGCGTACAATAAAATTCACGATTTTCATGAACTATTATCAATGATTTTAAACAATCGAGATTTTCATGTGCTAACAAACAATTTTTGTCAATTTTTATTTTTTGGGCCTAATGTCAATTACTTATGCGTACTTCAACGTTCACGATTTTCAAGATCTATTATGCACAAATTTTCAAATTTGCGAATTTCATAGGCTATAACCCATGATTTTTTTTGAATTTTTGTTCAAATTTGATCCAGTGACAATTAAGTTTTATTTCTCCAATTTTGTGATTTTCATGCACCCTGATTTTTGAAATTTTTTGTTCTTTTTGACCCAACAGAAATTAATTATGCGTACTAAAGTAGTAACTATTTTCATGGACTATTACTTATAATTTTTTAAATTTGCAAATTTAATGGGCAATAACCCTTGACTTTTGAGAATTTTCCTTTATTTTGACCCAAATGCAATCAAGTTTTGTTTCTTTGAAATTTGCAAGTTTCATTGGCTACCCCACAATTTTTGTCAATTTTTATTTATTTAGACACAATCCCAATTAATAATGTGAACTTCAAAATTAACGATTTTCATGGGCTATCATCAATGATTTCTAAAAAAACACGATTTTCAAGAGCTATAACATGATTTTTGTCAAATTTTGTTCTAATAACGATTAATTATGCATTCAACAATTTGGATATTCATGATCTATTGCCCAAAAGTTCTCCAAATTTGTAAACTTCGTTGGCTATAACCCATAATTTTTGTAAAGTTTTCATACTTTTCGACCAAATAGTGATTAGGTTTAATTTCTTTAAAATTCGCGATTTTAATGGCCTGTAAGCAATGAATTTTGTCAATTTATATTTGTTTCGACCCAAGGCTAATTAATTATGCGTACTTCAAATCCCACGATTTTCATGGGTTATCACAATTGATTTAAAAAATCATGATTTTCATGAGCTATAACCCACAATTGTCAAAGTTTGTTCTTTTCGAGTTTCGACCAAATTAAAATTAATTATGTGTACCTTAAAATTCTCGATTTCATGCGCTATTATCAACAGTTTCTAAAAAAATCCCGATTTTCATGGGCTATAATGCACAATTTTTGTAAATTGTTATTCTATTCAACTCAATGACAGTTAATTATGTATACTTAAACTCATGATATTCAATGATGGCTAGAGCCTAGGCGTTTTCCTATCTTATTATTTTTTTAATTACAACCAGTATTATCGAAAGCGCTAGGCATTGATAGGTGTCAAATTGGTGCTGACGGCCAACAAGGATTTTTTTTTAGGTGGTGATGGAGAAGATTTCGCAAAAGGTCGAAACAGTTGAAGTTGATCGTAGCTGGCAAAGGTGATCGGAGGAATTTGGAGGTTTGAGGACAACGATGTAGGAATGAAGGATATCACGCTCCCATAGACTCTTGAAAGATCGAGGCAAGCGACCTGGGTGCCACCTAGGCATTGGCGAGAACCTAGATGGGCCACGCAGGAGCTTTTCAAAACATTGCTTGTGCTTTTTGTGAATCTGCATTCTTTTAACCCAATGACAATTAATTTTTATTTCATCAAAATTAGCAATTTTTTATGGTCGGTAACAATTTTTTGTCAATTTCAACCCAATGCAAATCAATTATGCGTACTTAAAAAATTCATAGTGTCTACGGGTTGTGACTTAAGATTCTACAAAATCATGGTTTTCATGGGCTATGACCCACGATTTTGTGGATTTTCATTCTTTTCAACCAAATGATGGTTAATTATGCATACTTCAACATTCACGATATTCATGATCTATCACTCATGATTTTTTAAATTTGAGAATTTCAAAAGCTATAACCCACGATTTTTGTGAAGCTTTGCTCTTTTTAACCAATGACAATTAAGTCTTATTTTTCAAAATTCAAGATTTTCATGTCATATAACTCACGATTTTTGTCAATTTTTTTTAATTTCGACCCAATAACAATTTATTATGTGTACTCACAAATTCACAATTTTCATGGGCTATTCACTATTACCAAAGATTTTAAAAAGATAGTGATATTCATGCGTTATAACCCATTATCTTTTGCCAAATTTTGTTCTTTTCAACCTAATTACAATTGATGCCATTTTTGACTTAATGCCAATCAATTGTCACATTTTGACCTAATGTCGATTAATTTTTGTTCATTTGACCCAATACCGATTACCGATTAATTATAAGTACTTTAAAATTCACGATGTTCATGATTTATTATCAACGATTTTAAAAATTGTGATGTTTCATGGCTATAACCAATGATTTTTGTCAATTTTTATTGTTTTCAAACTAATGGCAATTAATTATATGTACTTCAACATTCGCAAATTATGTGATCTATTACCCACGATTTTTGTGAATTTTTATTCGTATTGATCCAAAGCAATTAAGTCGTATTTCTCCAAATTTGCGATTTTCATAGTCTATAACCCATGATTTTTATCAAATTTCATTTGTCTCAAACCAATGCCTATTAATTAGGAGCACTTCAACATAAGATTTTTTTAAAATCACGATTTTTAAGGGTTACAATCCATAATTTTTGTGAATTTTCATTCTTTTCAACCCAATAATGATTACTTATGCGTATTTCAACATTCACGATAGTCACGATCTATTACCCATGATTTTTCAAAATAGCAAATTCAATGGGCTAGCCTAAGATTTTTGTGAATTTTCGTACCTTTTGACCCTATGTCAATTAGTTTCATTTCTTCAAAATTCACAATTTTCATTGTATATAACCCACAATATTTATCAATTTTAGTGAACTTTCGACCTAATGCCAATTAATTATGCATACTAAAAATTTCACAATTTTTGTGATTTTTTTATCGTTTTGGCCTAATAGCTAATAAGTTTCTATTTCCTAAAAATTCGCAATTATTGTGGACTATAACCCATGATTTTTGTCAATTTTTATTTCTTTAAACCCAAAAGACAATTAATTATGCATACTTCAAATTTCACGATTTTCATAAGCTATTATCAACATTTAAAAAATCACAAGTTTCATGGGCTATATAACCCATGATTTTTGTCAATTTTTGTTATGTTTAGCCCGATGACGATTAATTATGAATTTATGCATGCCTCACCATCCATGATATTCATAATCTATTACCCACGATTTCTTAAATTTGCAAATTTCTGGAATATAACCCATAATGTTTGTGAATTTTTGTTCTTTTGGACACAATGACAATTAAGTTTAATTTCTTCAAAATTCACGATTTTCATGGGTTGTAACCCACAATTTCCTTCCAATGTTCATTCCTTTCGACACAATGTCAATTAATTATAGGTACTTCAAAATTCAAGATGTTCATGTCTGTTATCAATGATTTTAAAAAATCACAATTTTCATGGGCTATGACTCACGACTTTTGTTAATTTTTGTTATTTTCGATCTAATAGGAATTAAACTTACATACTTCAACATTCGCAATGTTCCTGATCTTTTAGCCATGATTTTTAAAATTTGCAAGCATGGCCTATAACCCACAATTTTTATGAATTTTTATTTGTTCAAACACAATAGCAGTTTAGTTTTATTTCTTAAAAAGAATTGCGATATTAATGGACTATGACTCACGATTTTTCTTTTCAAATTTCCTTTGTTAGGCCGAATTCTAGTTAATTATACATACTTCAAAATTCACGATTTTCACAGACCATTATCAACGTTTTTAAAAATAGCGATTTTCATAGGCTATAACCCAAGATTTTTTTCAATTTTTGTTCTTCTTGGCCCAACGATGATTAATCATGTGTCCAGTTCAATATTCATTCACAATATTCATTCACAATATTCATGATCTATTATTTTTCAATTTTGCAAATTTCATGAGCTATAACCCACGTTTTCTTCTAAATTTTTATTCTTTTTGCCCCAAGGGCAATTAAGTTTTGTTTCTCTAAAATTGCTAATTTCCATAGCCTATAACCCATAATTTTTGTCAATCTTGTTGGTTATGATCCAATGCCAATTATTTGTGCATATAAAATTGACGATTTTCATGGGCTATTACCCAAGATTTTTAAAAATCATAATTTTTTATGGACTATAACCCATGGTTTTTGTGATTTTTCATTCTGCATCCAATGATGATTAATTATGCGTAATTCAACATTTACAATGTCATATAATCTATTACTCATGATGCTTCAAATTTGTGAATTTCATAGGCAATAACTCGTGATTCTTAACAATATTTGCCCTTTGCGATCCAATGATGGTTAATTATGTGTACTTAACATTCACAATATTTATGATCAACTTCCCATGGTTTTTCAAAATTGCAATTAAGTTTTATTTCTTAAAAATTCACGATTTTAGTGGCCTACAACTAGGGGGATTCGGTCCGGATATAGCTTGGATATAATACTTATCATATCCATATCCGCTTACACATCTTGGATACAGATATATCTCGGTAAGGAAAATTCTTATCCATATCCACTAAAATTGAATAGAGATACAGACATACATGCGAATATATAAGCTGATATGCATGTGGATACAAAACAGATATGAGAAAACTAGATAGTATTTAAAAGAATATAGTTCTTGTGATATAAAATAGTTCATTAATATGTTCATTATATCTGAAAAGCTAAGATTAGACATCTTGATTATCAAAATTAACCTCAAATCGATAATCTAAGGATTAAAACTATTGAAACAATATGACTAATATATTTTCGGATATTTTGGATACGGATATTTTACAATAAAATCATATCCATAACCATATATCCTATCGGTTATAGATTTAAGTAACCATATGCGTATCCTAACGGATATGGTTACAGATATTTCCTCGGATACAGATACGGTTTAGCACCCCTCCCTACAACCCACAATTTTTATCTATTATCATTAGTTTCTACTCATAGCAATTTAATCGTGCATACTAAAAATTCACGATTTCATGGGATATTACCCAAGATTCTTAAAAAATAGTGCAATTTAACCCATGATCTTTTGTCAAATTTTGGTCCTTTCAATCCAATTCTAATTAGTTATGCACACTTTAAAATTCATGATTTTCATGGGCTACTATCAATGATTTTATAAAAAGCACAATTTTCATGGGCCAACCAACAATTTTTGTCAATTTAGTTCTTTTCGACCCAATTGTAATTTCATGATTTTCATGATCTATTTCAAACAATTTTTCATATTTGCGAATTTCATGGATGAACCCACGATTCTTGTGAATTGTGTTCGTTTTGACCCAATGGCAATTAGGTTTTATTTCTTCAAAATTCGTGATTTTTATGAGTTATAGCCCATGATCTTTGTTAATTTTCATTCATTTGACGCACTTCCAGTAAATTATGTATACTTCAAAATTGATAATTATCATGGTTTAATATCAACGATTTTAGAAAAGTGTTTTTCATGTGGTCAATAACCCATGATTTTTGCCAATTTTTGTTCTTTTCGCCCAAATGACGATTAGCTATGCGTACTCCAACATTTGCAATTTTCATAATCTAGTACCAACGATTTTTCAAATTTATGAAATTCATTGGCTACAACTCACACTTTTTTCGAATATCCGTTCTTCTTGATCCAATGACAATTTAGTTTCCTTTCTTCTAAATTTGCGATTTTCATTGCCTATAACCCACGATTTTTGTCAAGTTGGTTTGCTTCGACCCAATGCTAATTAATTATGTGCGCTTTAAATATTTCAAGATTTAATGGTCTATTACAAATTATTTTAAAAAATTGTAATATTAATGGGCTACATAACCCATGATTTTTATCAATTTTTTCTTTTCAACGCAATGGAGATTAATTATGCGTGCTTCAAATTTTCATAATCTATTACCCACATTTTTGCAATTTGGCAAATTTTATGGGCTAGAACCCCCGAATTTTCTAAATTTTTATTTGTTTTGACCCAATGGAAATTAAGTTTTATTTCTTCAAAATTCCCCATTTTATTGGGCTATAACCCACAATTTTTTCACTTTTTGTTCTTGTTGATCTAATTCCAATTAATTATGCATACTTCAAAATTCATGATTTTCGTGAAGTTTTATCGATGATTTAAACAAATCATGATTTTCATGAGCTATAACAATTTTCGTCAATTTTTTGTTCTTTTTGACCCAATGAGAATAGTTTATGCGTACTTCAACATTTAGAATTTTTGTGATCTATTACCCTCTCTCCCACTCATCTGTAGCATTTTCTTATCTCCTTTCTGGTTTAAGGTTTCGATTTAAGTTTCTCTGGTTTAGATCAGTTCTGTAATGAGACTGAGTGAAAGTGTTACCATCTTGCCAAAATACATTTCAGGCTGATCTCTATAAATTAGAGATAGTTATGGATCGGATAGGTCAGAATTGAATTCAAAATGCCTGATGGGCATCGGTTTAATTGGCTTTTTATTTTGGATTTTATGTCAATAAGTAATCTGAAATTTCTTCCTTTGACCTGTAGAGATTTTTCCTTCTTTCTGGTTTAGGTTTGGAATTTAAGTTTATCTGGGTTTGCTCAGTTTTGGATTGAGATTCACAAGATATTTAAGTGTAGCCGACCTTCGTTCAGTCAGCCAATCCAGTCTTAGCTTTTTTTAATCATTGATTTTATAGGAACAAATAATCAGACATACCTATATATATAGCATTTCAGATCTACTGTTGGGTCAAAATTATAAACATTTATCAAACACACATTTCCACTACTGTTTCTCCCAATTATCTTAATAAGATTAACATTTTAAACTATAAGAGGAACATTTGAAATTACACAGTTCTTCCAATGAAATTGAAGGAAATTATCATAACAGTACCTTTCACGAAGATAAAACATTTCATCATGAATTGACTTGACAGTATCCTCCATCTTTTTCAACTCCAGCTCCATTACCTGCAACAGAAACCACGGTTTAAAAATTATATCAGTCCGAACTTTAGCACCAAATTGTTACCATTCAAGCATCTCAGTATCCCCTTTACTTCTCATTGTTATGTTATTTTTATAGAAGGGCTTGGTATTTGGAGTTTCAAGAGAGCATATAACTGGTCTTGCTAATTTGGCAAAAATTACATATAAAACATTCTGCATTTCAGGTTTTCGGACTCCTAAAAGCACGAAACCATGGAACGTCTAGGGAAAGCATGCATAGAGGTGCCACGGCTCATATAAAATAACAGGATCAATGACTCAATATGCTAATAGTATTTTCAAAATTTTAAGTTTCACAATCTAATCCTGACTAAGATTATGAGAAATAGAAGATTTTGGTTGTCAACTGATTTCTATGCCATCCAAAAATTTATGAAATTTCATTATCCATAACAGTCCGTCTTGGTCTTTTCCCTTAAAAGCACTCTCGAATGCAAAATCAACTGGTTTGATGGCTTTTCATCCAATGCACCAAGTGGTTGTAAAATGAATACCATTGTCAATAACATGAACTAGCTTAGTTCACAGGTAAGTTACGTACAAATCATATGAATTCTCATCTAGATAGCGATAAATATCGAATAGTATTTATCATGTATTTTGCTGATCCATTACTTAAGTTTATGGATTGGTTAGAGAACTTCCTACACCAAGCCCTTAGAAATCTACAGGCATAGCTTCAACTAATCAATCTCATTAGGGAAAGTACCAACCATCTTTTTTACATTCAGGTGGAATAGATAGCTTTCACTTGTGCTTTGTCTTTAAGTATGGTTTGCACTTTGCAGGAATCCAAATACAGTATTGCAGTCAATATTAATTGAATACCATATCCTGACTCAGTAAGAGGCTACTAAAAGAAACATTCTGTCCTAGCTTTCCAAAGCAATCACTCAATAACTACGTCTCTTCCTGAAGCCATCAAAAATGTAATGTCACTTATATTGTCCTTACTAGGATAGGTGGATTACGGAAATTACAGCACTGTTAAAGGTCATACAGAAGGACTAGGGTGATGGAAGTCTAAACCCATCAGGGGGCCCTGCTTACTTTGCTAATCAGTATATCAAGCACATACTTCGTTAGTTTGCTTAAAGTTGCTAATCGATATCAAGTACATGCTTAAACTATCATGCTCAAAGGGTGTCAAGAACTTCATTTGCATCAACTGTTTTGGAAACCGAGAAATATGAAAGTATAATATGAAAATAAGATGCATGGTTAACATAAAGCAAGGATATAAAAATAAGGCCCATATAAGTATCAGGGAGGGAATTCATGCGGAGTAGCTCCTTTAGTCTAAAATTTCAGATAATTCCGTTCTAACAGAGACGAATCCTTGAGCCTTTATAACAAATTCTGGGGGATTAAATATGTACATAAAATTGTAAAACAATCATTCTTGCATTCTTTACGCCTATTAATGACTGTAGGCTTCATAAGGCCCTAATATCAGATACACGATAGCATATCCACCTCAGTGACAAGTGACAAGTCTTCTTACAGACTTGCATGACTGTTAGCTGCTATAACCAAGCACACACGTTCTTTTCTATACAAAAGCAATTTGTTTCTCCTCCAGCTTCACAAACTTTTCAGCCTTAGAAGAATTTCGAATTCAAGCTCAAACTTGGACAATGGAAACAATCACAACGGGAAGAAGAAAAAAACATAATTAGCACCAAAATAGAATACAAAACCCAGATCAGCTTACATCAATCTGCCCCTTCTTCGCAACATTTGGCCAGTCCTTCGCGGCAACTCCAGTCCTCCACTCAAACTCAACCGTCAGCGTCTGCGGCGGCTTGTGATCAGGCGTCCACATGCAAGCCAAGTAATCTCCCGTCTCTGACGACGTAAACGCAAAATTCCCCGACTCCACATTATCAGCATGATGAATGCTATTCCCATACGGCGACGTCACCTACCAAATCAAAATCCAAGTTAGGGTTAGGGCTAGGGTTAGGGATTGCGATCAGAGTTTTGGCCCACTTACCCTAACGCTGACTTTGTGGGAATCGGGGAGAGGGTGGTTTTCGTCGGGGTTGACGACGAGGTACTTGCCGACGGCCATGGCGTTCATCTTGATGTCCTCGGAGATGCATTTCGTCGAGCCTGATTGAAGGTCGAAGCGAAGGGATGAGGAGAGAGAGAGGAGGTGGAGAGCTGAGACAACGAAGAGGACGAGCTTGGCCATGATCGATGATCGATTGTTGAGATTTCTGGTGGAATTGGAGAATTTCGATCTTAGGTTTTGACTTTGATCGAAGGGAGAGAAGGATTGGGTTTTTTTTTTAATTTTAATTTTTTTACCCCGCGGGTTTCATTTCTTATTTTTCGCAGAACAGTGGCATCAGAAATTTTCAATTAGGTCATGGTTACAATCGCATTTTGCATGACCTACTGTATAATAATATTTATTATCTTGTCTTATTTTACATTTAAAAAATTACCTTCTCCATCTTAGATCTTGCAAAATTACCCCTTAATTCTCTCGCATTGATTTTTCCCTCTACCCTTTTCACTTGCCAATTTTAGTTTTTCCATTTTAAAAATTATTGAAAAACAATTGGAAACGATTAAAATTTTTGACACTGTCTACTTTAAAGAGCAGCATTCTTAAGTTGGAGCAGCAGAAAGATTCAATGCGCCACATTTAAGGAGCAACTTTGCAAATACTAAATTTTAAGGGGCAAGTTTGTAAATATTAAATATGTCAAGGGCATATATGCGAAAATCCCTACGTTACGCAGGAATAAAGCCAAAATGCAAAGCATTCATGTTATACCTTTCTACAGCACATGTATGGTACAGCACATGTATGGTAAAGTTGTATCATGTTAGGGGGGCACTAGGGGCATACACCCAAGCACATCTCAAACTACACCCTATCTCTCGTGTGCTACAGTGTACTGGACCTCACATGGGATTTTAATGTAGGGCCCGATATACTGTAGCATACGAGAGAGGGAGTGTGGTTTGGGATGTGGTTGGGGGTGTGCCCCTATTATTTTCCATCGTGTTATGGTTCCACTACGAAGGTGGATTCATATTTATATTCTACAAGAATAGCGATGATCAGACTGCTTGTTTTTGTGGCCGAACTGGTTGGACTTTGCTATTTGGTTCGGGTTTTTTCTATAGGATGAGGAAGGAATAGGAAAAAAATAGTACCAGAATTCCCAAAACTTATTCCATCTTATTCATATTATTAATTTTGGCTCACTTCTATTGTATACAATTAGTATTCTATAAAGTGGAGAAATATGAGTTTTTTTTATGGAAACCACGTGCTCTCAAATTGAGAGGAATTAAGTTGGAATTTCTGATACCTACTAATACACCTTATCTATTCTTATGCACATTTCCTATTTTTTACGGAATGAACCAAAGACAAGAGTACAAATAATAGAGCATTCCATTGGCTACTGATTTTTATTAAAAAATTAAGGGAAAGACATAGAAAAGCCATTTTAGTATCACATTCCTATTCTTTTTTTACGGAATGAACCAAACAACCCCTAAAGAAATGTGATTTTTGTCTAAGTTCATTGTCATCAAGGCACAAAAGTTACCTTGTTTGGTTTAACAACGATGACTTGGGCTTTAGCTTGTTTGACTAAGTCCATTATCATCAATGCACAAAAGTTACTTTGTTTGGTTTAACAACGATGACTTGGGTGTTAGCTTGTTTGACTAAGTTCATTGTCATCAAGACACAAATGGTGTGTTTGGGAGTTTACTTAGGGAAGGGAAGGAAGGGGAAGGAAGGGGAATTTTTCCCCTTCCTTCCCTTCCCCTCCATTACACCCCAATTTGGGGTGTAAGAATTTGGGCCAAATTTCCCCTCCATTCCTCTCCTCTACCCTCCAAAATGAAACTCCCAAACAAGGTTAAAATGAAATTTCCCTTCCCTTCCCCCTCTCTACCCTCCATCCAAACAGGCCGAAAAAGTTACCTTGTTTGGGTTAAGGATGCTGAATCGCTACATTCTGATAACTAGGCTTACAATGTCTCCAGATCAGACGGAATGAACAACCATTCAACAAAGCTGGGGGATCCAAAATATTTTGAAAATTCGTCCCAGTCAATCGTGAACTTTTAAAAACTTTGGAGGGGGTTCTGTAGGCTGTCTAAAAATCACAACAGATAGCTGATCCCTATCAAGCTTCAAGCAATATTTTGACAATAAAAGTTACAATCAAACGACTTTCACGAAAGCTACAAATAGATGACTTTTCACATAGATTGAGAGGAGTTATAATTTAACGACCCTTCCAACGACTAATGAAAACTCTATTTAGCGATCTTCACAATCAACCATGAGAGCTACAATCTGATGGCTCTCGCACCCCAAATAGCTAAAGCAAGGATTACAGAACAACGATCATTGCAGACACTCCGATAGAAGGGGTTACAAGTCAACAACCACTTCTAAACGCAGAGTTCACCTCTGCGTTCAACTTTCAAAACGCAGGCAACCCCTGCGTTCAGTTTTTAGCCCAAACCGAACTCCGCGTCTCAATTCCGAGACGCAGGGTTAACGTCCAGAACGCCAAACTAGGCGTTGTTTGACTCATTCAACATGAGCTGAATAGTTCCAAAACCGTTTCCTACGATTTGAGGGCGATTACACCCCACTTAGGAGCGATTTAAGGGGTAGTTACACCCCTCAATCCTCTATAAATAACTAAAAATCAATTCAGTTCAGGGGGGAGATCGGATCTTTTGGAGAAGAGAATCATCATTGAATTAGGAGGATCCTTTTTAGGGAGACTGTCAAATTCAGAGGATCGAGAGTCAGATTTTTCTTCTTGAAGTTCGGTTTTCAGATAAAATCTCCAAGAGATCTAAAAAGATCTTCTTAGCAACAGAGAGTTTTAACACTTGGTAATTAACCGAATTTTTGGTTAAAACAACTCTTTTCACAGACTTCCAACTCATCCTGAGTTTAAAAAACTCATTAAGAGTTCTTTTGTTTTAAACTTGCCACGCAAGTTAATTGTTCCAACAAAGTGAGACGTTCGGATCGTCAACGGAGAGTAAACTCGACGCCAGCATTCGAGGGAGACACTCCATCGCCATCAAGAAGAACCTAGACTTAAACAAAGTAGAGGATCTCTGTCGATCTTCTTCTATTTTGTAATTGAGTTAGAGAGAGTGAAACATTCCAATATCAATATTGCACGAAAAACACAAAAAATATTATTTACAATTAAATCCTCTAATATCAATTTTAGACATCCATAATTTTTACCATTGGTCAAACCATTATATTTTTACGATTGCCTAATTTAAATAATTTAAATAATATTCACTTTTCAATAATACACTAATTTTTACAATTTTCCCTAATTTCCCCTCTAACTTTATATATAAATTTCTTATTATTTCTTCAAAAAATTCAAAAATATTTTAAAAGCATTCCAATATCAAAATTTAAACAAGTTATTATGATGAAATAGTGAGAATATGTAAAAAGTTTGGAGAAAAAAATAAAGTTTAAAGATTTTACCGAAAATTTGTCGATGCCCTAAATTTGATATCCAATGAGCTTCGATGAACTCTGGCGCTTTTCATCTCCGAAAAAGGTCGATAGTGGCTGCGACGGCAGGAGCAAAGACAGCCTATGGTAGTAGCGGCAGCAGCGGCGGCAGTGGTGGGAGATGGGAGTAAAGGAGCAAAGAGAGAGAGAGAGAGTAAGAGAGAGAGAGAGAGAGAGAGAGAGAGAGAGAGAGAGAACATGAAATGAAATCACCTGAGAGGGGAGAGATAAATACCGACCTAGGTGAGTGGGGCCTACGCAGACTTCACAGGATTTCAGATCCCGTGAAGTTGCAGGCTCATTTGCCAGAGCTCTCTGGAAGTTGCAGGTGCAACTTCACGGAATTTTAAATCCAGTGAAGTTTTCGAATTTTATTTGTCATTTTCGATCCAGTTTCAGCCATGTGGCTGAAACTGGATCGAAAATATGAAATAAATTTCAAATAAATTATTTTTTAAAATAAATTCTTTAAAATGTCTTTTTTAAAAATTTGCCCATTCATATATTAAGTTCTAACAGCTCAACTTGGCTTTGCAGAACTTGGTCTTGTGTAATAAGTTATTCATTCAATTCTGTCGCCTATAAATTGGAAATCGCAAAATCAGATCAGTGCATCTGTTCGTTCCGCATAACTCAAGGTTCTTTTTGTTCGTTCCACATATTTAGGTTTCCTCTTTACCCTTTTAAAAACATGTTTATTGCAATGTCAGTCCCTCATATCTTTCATATTTCAGATTAGTGCCCCAACCCCTTAAATTGCTACTAAATCCCAAGTATCATAAATTACTTTCCAATTAATAACAAAAGCATACAACTTTGACGTCAAATATGCCTATGTTTATTTTCTTTATACGGCAAATTACACTATACCCACCAAGCATTCTGAGTGCAGACTTGCAGTAAACCCTAATAACTTTCAAATTTGCACTAACCCAATAACATTTTAGAATGTAAAACCCCAATTAGTTTCTATGTTTTGCAGATAACCCCATAAATTAGAACAAATTAAATTAATAACAGAAACATACGACATAGATAGTGAGTGTGTCTATGTTTATGTTCTTTACGAGGTAAATTGCACCAAACTCGCGAGAATTTTTAGTGTTTTGCAATAAACTCCCAATAACTTTCAAAATCGCTCAAAATCCCCTATAACCTTTTGGAATTACAGAATCGTCCAATAAGTTACCACCTTTTGTAGATAACCCCCAAAAATTAGACCAAAAAAAGTTAAATAACATAGGCATACAACTTTGCCAGTGCATTGGTCTATGTTTATATTCTTTATAACTAAACCCTCAAGAACTTTCAGCATGCTACGGTAAACCCCAATAACTTCCAAAACCATAATAAATCCAAAATAAACTTTTGGAGTTACGGAAGACCACAACCCCCCACCCGGCCACCCCCTCCCACCCCTTCACCCCGAAAAAAAAATCGCATTTAGCAGATAGCCCCATAAATTAGAACCAAAGAACAACATCAAAAAAATATTTTGAAAGTTATTAAGAGTTTAGTGTAATTTACTCAAAAGATATTTTTTGCATATCCTCCCTCTTCTGCAACACATTAGAGGCTTGCATGTTATTTTAAAGTTTACTACATAGAGATTTTTTCTCCTAACAAATTGGCCTATTTCTGCATATATTTTCTGTTCTACGTCTATAGAAATACTTTCATCTGGAACTCCAGATACAAACAAACAGTCACACCTAGCCTTGTGTAACAACCCTATTGAGTGAGCACATGTATTACCCGTGCCCCTTTTACTAGTACTGTAAATAATCAATTCGACGAATTTTTAATATTTGTTTCTGTTATCAATGAGGGTATAATTAGAAATTACATAATTAATTTGATTCCCATTTGAACGAGAATTATTATTCTTTATCAAGTCACCGGGAATGCTCATTCCCACAAAAAAGTGGAAATGAGCATTCCCTTGACAATGGGCAATCAAACTTCTAAAATATTGTTATGTTTGTGTTGGAAATTTATCAAATAATTAAGATTATAGCATGAAATAAATCTGAATAAAATAAACAATTAAATCTGGTTTGATCGGGAGCAGTCGTGTATTCACTGCCCTAGAAAATTGAGGACCCGCCTATCGCCCTGGTGCCAGATGATCCTCTCTCCCCTAGCGGTAAAAACCCCCGGAATCGGCCGGCCTCTGTACTCGGGCGAGAGTACAGAGCTTCTGCTCAGATGAAGAAAGTTGCCCAAAAACAAAACCAATACTATGAAGAAATAATATGAAGAGGAGAGAAGAGACTTGTTGTTTTTCTTGTTTTTTTTTTCGAGAATGTGAAGGGCTGCTTATATAGGGGTCTTAGAGAGTCGTTATAAATCCTAGCAATCAATACAGTAACGTACGCCATAATGTTGACCGTTACGCAATAAACGCGTAATTAATACGGTAACGTTCGCCATAATTATATAGACATTATGCACGTATTAATTGCTGAGGAAAATAAAATATGTAAAACATGTTAAATTGCCTTTTCTTTAATAAAATATCCAACAGTCCCCCCCAAAAGGCAATATTAACTGAAAACTCAGTAATCAATAATCAATAAATAAATCAAGAAATCATAAAATAAATATAGGTTGGGCAACATTACGTATCGTGAATTCGGGAGAGGTAGCTTTCGGCTTTGAACCTTTCCTTAGTGAGTTCATCGCCACCTGAGGGACATAATGGACTAGGCCTTGAATTAGGCCCCTTTAATCAGGTATTGATGAAAACACACACAATACGCTTCATCTATTGAGCAAAGCGGGTTGAGCGTTAAAGGCCATGCTCACAATAAACCGACTCATGAGAGTTTCTAGGGGTTAGCCCAGCCCCCCCAGACCATCACGGTTCCTCTCACGTAGGTAAGTCCTCAAAGGGTACTACAGCTGTTTATTTAATACCCCCATAATACACACGTTGGACTTATTAAGAGTAAAACTCAGCCTAGCCAGCTGTATCATAAGAGCATCGTCATCATAGAGAAGGGGTAGTAGCACAAGCTACATAGTAATATATGAATATATCTGGGTCGATGCTCCACACAAGTGTCACTACTCCAGCTTGTTTCTACCACATTGAACCAACATTGGGACTACGTCTCCAAATAAGAGTTGGATTGCCGCTGTCAGTGACCTCATTTATGGGCTTAACCCCATCTTCCTCGATGAATCCAGAACCACACTCCTGGATAATCCCTTAGTCAAAGGGTCATCAAGATTTTTCTCAGACTTTACAAAGTCTAGAATCACAACTTTGCCTAGCAGGCGTTATCTTTATTTATCAAGTTCTTATTTTGTAATTAGTCCATCATATTGTTTGAAATTGACATTAGGTCATTGTCTATGATCATAAAAGATCATAGTCTATGTCTGAAGATGTAAACACATAGTGTTTGTGCAGATTAGGATTTGACCTTAATATCTGAACATTTCAAACTAATGTGGAACTAAAATTCTGCAGTTATGCATATGCACATACATGAATGAAATTAATAATAGATACATGCAGAGCATTCAAGAGAACAATATATTTCATACTTCATAATTCATATGCATAATTTTTTTTAAAAAATCTTCTATTATAAGAGGTTACAAAATGGTTGGCTACAAAGTAGACCTTCCAAATTTAAATCGGTTGCCTACAAATGAGACATTCCAAATTAAAATTGGTTGCCTACAAATGAGATCTTCCAAATTTAAATTGATTGTCTACAAAAGAGACCTTTCAAATTTATGTTGTCATTTTCTAGTACCACCTGTTATACAAATAATAATAATATTATTATTATTATTTGTACATACGTGCTTTAAATTTTACAAGTGCATTCTTGCATAAAACCTTGTAATTAATCATGTAACAAATGCACGTTATCTAAAAAGACATATGAACATTTATTGCAATATTCATCATGATGCAATAAAGGAGATGAGTTTTACATTTGAAGATTTAAAATATAATCCATCATATAAAATAGAAATTTAAAAGATGCACCTCTTTGATTTGGTTCGCTCATATATTGATCATTTATCATTACACAATATATGATGCAAGAAGCATAATTAAATAAATGCATATGAATTTTTCTCATAATTCCGGTCCTCTTATTCCAAACCAAAAACTCCTAAAGCGAAAAGATTAAAGTTTTACCCGGGTAGTTAGCCAAGTAAGGATAGTAATAGAGGTTGATCAAAAATCAATTAAGTACCTCGTTCCTTGCAGAGCACGTTACGCAACCCCTAAACCTTGCCTTAGACACTAACTAATCCAAGAAAACTTGAATCGGTTCGTTCAATGAGTTTTTGTTCCTTAACAGTATATAGAAACTTTAAAATATTTCCTGCAAGCATTTAATTTGACTAGCAATTATACTGTAAACATATGTTGGATAAGGCCGAGGAGGGGTTTACCTATTGATGTTTGAACCTCATGATTTTCATGTCTTGAGAGTAAAAACCATCTGCTGCAGACAACTGCCACATAAGTTGCTGAACAAATTTGCATTCACTTTTACCACTTTTTGTACTAAGCTTATTAGATGCATAAGCACTCCAAAGTATGGAATTATTAATAATAGAAGGTACCATATTGATAGGTTAAAGAAATGAAAGCATTAAACCATGAAAAAATCCAGATATTTCAAAGAAGGTACCATATTGATAGGTTAAAGAAATGAAAGCATTAAACCATGAAAAAATCCAGATATTTCAAAGCGTCTATGCATCCAAAGTTTGTTCTCTTTATTCTTGTCAAAACCATGCATATGAAATTTTCAAGAATAAATATGTACACTGCTACAAATTTATAGCATGTTTCAAATGCGTGCATATTCACTAGCACAAGGGGATAAGGGGAGATTTTAGATGATTCTAACAAATATAAACTAGGCTTTTATAAACCAATAAAGGTTCTTTGATATTCGTAACTTGCAATAGTTATTGATTATAAAACAACTATAAGATAAATGTAATTAACTGTTAAATTAAGTTAACAGAAATATTTAACTACAATTATTATTATTATTATTTTTATTAAAAAAAATAACCAAAACTGTTTACATGAACAGTAATGTTTTTAATAAAATGAACAGTACCGTTTTTAAAAATAAATGAACAGTAACAGTTACATTTTGTGAGCAGTAACAATTTTTTTAAAAATAATTAACAGTAATTAAAGCAACTAATTACAAAATTTAATTTACTTAGGATGAACAGTAACAGTTAATTTTTTTAATAAAAACAGTTACTGTGTTTTTCTGAGTGAACAATACCGAAACTATTTTTTTTAACAATTAATAGATAATCAAGCAATTAGCAGTAATTTTTTTTAGCAGTAACCTTTTAAATGAACAGTAAATGCAAAATTGCCATGATTTTATGAACAATAAATTTTCGGGTGAACAATAACCGAAAACAATATTTTTTTAAGTAATGGTAACAGCAGATTTATGAATAGATCTAAATCAACAGTAACAGAAAAGATGAATTTTTTCCCGGATTTAAATCAGAAGCTATAAACTCCTCAATCTTCTAGATTGTTGGAAATTTATCAAATAATTAAGATTATAGCATGAAATAAATCCGAATAAAATAAACAATTAAATCTGGCCTGATCGGGAGCAGTCGTGTATTCACTGCCCTAGAAGATTGAGGACCCGTCTATCGCCCTAACGCAGATGATCCTCTCTTCCCTAATGGTAAAAACCCCCGTAATCGGTCGGCCTCTGTACTCGGGCGAGAGTACAGAGCTTCTGCTCAGATGAAGAAAGTTGCCCAAAAACAAAACCAATACTATGAAGAAATAATATGAAGAGGAGAGAAAAGACTTGTTGTTTTTCTTGTTTTTTTTCCTGAGAATGTGAAGGGTTGATTATATAAGGGTCTTAGAGAGCCGTTACAAATCCTAACAATCAATACAGTGACGTACGCCATAATGTCGACCGTTACGCAATAAATCCGTAATTAATACGGTAACGTTCGCCATAATTATATAGCCATTATGCACGTATTAATTGTCGAGGAAAATAAAATATGTAAAACATGTTAAATTGTCTTTTCTTTAATAAAATATCCAACAGTTTGATATGCGAGAAAATAAAAAGTGAGAATGATCATTCCATTCCACTTCATTCTTGCGTACCAAAAAAGATGTCGTAGTGTCCATAAAAATTATTGCTCTAATTCTGAATTTGCAAATAACGACTAAGCCGCGTGGATTCTAGAAGCAAACCCCACAGATCAGAGGAAAAAAAAACGGATAAACTCAACACAAAATGTTCCCAAAAAAAAAAAAAGCGAAACCGAATCAAATTCCCTTCATAAAAATTAACCGCACCATCTTCCACTTTTGCTTCAATTCCACGCTATAAAAAAAATACCCCAAACCAACCGGTGACCGGCGATGTCGGTTCGGATGCTCCGCGTCGCCTGCGACGGCACCGGCGTTTACCGGTCAGTCCAAGAGGCCGTCAACGCAGTGCCTCTTCACAATCGGGCTCGGATCATAATCCAGATCTCCCCCGGTTTGTACCGCGAACCCGTTCACATCCCGAAGACCAAGAACTTCATCACTTTTGCCGCGCTTAAACCCGAGACCACTGTAATTTCTTGGGATAATACTGCCACCAAAATCCAACATCATCAGGTTTTTTTTTTAAAATTAATTGAAAGTGATTAAAGTGTGAATTTTTAGGTTATTTACGTGTTTTTTTAATTGAAATTAGGAGTCGAGGTTGATTGGGACTGGGACTTTTGGGTGCGGGAGTGTGATTGTTGAGGGAGAGGATTTTATTGCTGAAAATGTCACCTTTGGGAACTCAGCGCCTAAGGTAAATTTTCATCATTATTTTCATTTTTTTTAATTTTATTTATGTGGGTTTTATTGTTGGTTGATGACTAGTTGGATGAATAGGGTTCAGGGCAAGCAGTGGCTCTCAGAGTGACGGCGGATCGATGCGCGTTTTATAACTGCAGGTTTCTTGGATGGCAAGTGAGTATGAATCATCCAATTTAGTTTTTAGTGTTAATTAAGTTTTAAGATAAATTTCTGAGAATAAATTATATCCAGTTGAGTAACTTACAATTGATACTTGAGAGAAGTGATAAAATTTAATAATGAAGATCACAAATAGACCATAGAGAACTTGGTTATTGAAGGAGATAACCCTTAATTAGGTGTTGAGTTGAAAGGTTTAAGCTTTAGATATTTTTAAAAACTTTAAACTTGAAGGTGAACATCAAAAGGGAGAAATTTGAAGTTCAGATGATCCAGGTTAACTTCTATCCATAGAATCTGAAAAAAATGACCCTGTAAGAAGGTTAATTTTTAGGTGTGTTCATATTTATTCGACTACTTGAAATGTTGAAGATTCACAATTTTCAAAAGGGCTTACTTGAATGGAACATCAAAAGGAAAATAGAAGAGAAAATCAAAGTCAAGAGACAAACTATTCATAATGGATTTCTTCATTCTTTTGTATTATTATGTCACATGAGTGTATTCCGCTTTCAGTTTATCTATTTTTATCTTGTTGTATTTTTATACACCGTCTTAGTAATCAAACATCACTTTTTTGTAACTGTGCCGTGCCGACTAATATGATGCATTCCTGTTGATTTTTCGTTTCCCTGTTGGTATATGTGGTTGCCTTCCATTAATAGAACTATAGTTTTTGGTTTTATCTTTTAGACAACTAATTCTCCCTTAAAAAGTTTTCTTTTACTTGAAAAATCAATTTTAAATCATGAAAAGTGCCATGCAAAAATTGCCTGTAGTTTGGTTGTTGGGGATTGACATATTAGTATCATAAAGGTTATGGCTACCAAATTGGCATAAAACATGACTCCCCTTTACCAGCTAGGTATAAAAAAGTGAAGCTGGCAACATGATATAAAAACGCCGTAAGTTGTGACATCAAGGCTTTTCCAGTTGCTGGAATTTTGATTTGAGGTGATAATTCAATATTTCAAGGGGAAGCTTCTGTAGATGCCCAAATTTTGTTGTGGATTGTTGCCTGACATGATCCAAACTCACTTCTCCTTGTTTCTTTTTACTGTGGTAGGATACCCTATATTTGCATTATGGAAAGCACTATTTGAGGGATTGCTATGTCGAAGGAAGTGTGGACTTTATATTTGGGAACGCTACTGCCCTTCTGGAACATTGTCATATTCATTGTAAATCTGAAGGATTTATAACTGCTCAAAGCAGAAAATCTTCTCAAGAAACAACTGGTTATGTGTTTCTAAGGTATGCATCAATTTCTTTTCTTCCAATTACATACCTTATTTCTATATCAAGGTAATATATTAGTTAAGAGATTCTTAAAAACATACCCAAAAGCTTCTCATTGAGCCTTTTTTACCTTCCTGGATTATCCAATAGCTTCCTCTCATTTGGTAGCACCGTAGCAGCTCAAAATTCGAATCTGAGGGAGCCATCCACTGTCTTATATCTAGATATCTGAAGCTCTGGTAATATCCTGACGTTTTTGAGCATTCGGATCTATTGTCCATTCCCTTTGCATTAATTTGAAATTTGGAATGTTAAATCCTGGGCTCACAACTGGTGTATAATTTTGCTTCGAGATTCGTGATCTATACTTAGAACTCATTTTCATGAAAACGGAAGAACAAATATATAGATGACGCTGAGGATTAAGGTTTGGCAACTTCATGTTGCTCCCATATCTACTAGTATTCCGGTGCACGCAACGCGTGCATGACCGGCAAACTAGGGAGTGTTGTAATCGAATTGTCAAGGGAACGAACAATTTGTTATGTTTTTAGTAGATTTCCAAGTGTGAAATCATTTCTGTTGATTTTTCTTGATGAGAGGGCATTTCCACTGATTTTTTTCAAGTGCGAGGACATTTCCTTTTTTTTCCAAATAAGAGCGCAATTTCGGATTATAAAAATGAACCTCACACAAACCAAAGGTGGGCTTCTTTTAAAAAATTAAGTATAAATGAATCTGATCTAAAATCTCATCTTTTAACCGAGAGCCATTTGTTTGCCTATGCTTTGCTTTAGCAGCTTGTTACCTTATCTTTTGGGGAAAAAACTAACCAATAAATTGACTAATGCAGGTGTGTTATAACTGGTAATGGTTCTTCTTCATATATGCATCTTGGACGTCCATGGGGGCCCTTTGGAAGGGTTGTTTTTGCATACTGTTGGATGGATGCTTGCATCAAGCCTGTTGGTTGGAACAACTGGGGCAAAGCTGAGAATGAGAGGAATGCATGCTTCTATGAATACAAGTAATGATTTTGAAACAATTAAACTAAAACCCTCCTTAAATTGTTTGGCGGTTTTTTAGATATCCCTTTATGTTTAATTTAACCTCCATTAAGTTTTGTCAGATAACACACCCTAAGTTACATCGTTAGATCTTTACACGTGATAATCACGTGCATCCCAATGATCAAAATGCCTTGATAGAAAAGCTCTTTTATGTCCTTCTCAATAATTTTACAGATAATTTTCGCAAAAGCCCCCTTAAGTTTGGTCTAATTTTGAGATAACTTCCATCTAACCCTAGCCCCCAGTTAATTTAATTGTAATAGTGTTAATTTGAAAAGAGTATTTTGGTCTTTTTAAAGGTTCATCTAACACCGTTAGGGAGTTAGTTGTAAATTTTGAAAGTGTTTGGGGTTTTCTGAAACACTGCAAACTTAAGGGGAGACGAAGTGACATTTTTAAGTTTAGGGCAGTTATCAAAATTTGGTCAAACTTAAAAGGGGCTTTGTGAAATTTACTTTAAAAAATTTTCTTTGCATGTTTGTTGCCAGAAGCATTTTATGTTTTCTTTAACTATTCCAACTCACTATTCTGTACAAGAGTACTAATAAGAAAGTTCTTCGGTCACAAACTGAGCACAGCTTAGCAACAATTTGTAAGCGAACCCCCCCTCCCCCTCCGCCCCCCCCCCTTCTGTACTTGCTAAAAACACAATAAACATCAGTCATCAGAACAGCAGTTAGGAACTTCTAAGATACTGCGTTCTTCACATGACTTCTTACTTGAACTATATTTTGTTGTCGCAACCACTCTACAAGAAGCCATTGTATCATGAATCCGATGCTATTCAAATATGGGAGACCTGAACCTGGACATCCTTCAATAGTTGAACAGAATCCTGCTACTTGTCTCATGCGCGCCTTAGCTGCTAGTTTTTTTGGTACTCCCATAGATTGTTCTTGCCAAAATTTTAATTTTAAGCAGGAACCATATTTCTCAATCTTTTCATGGTTTTCCCCCTAGATGCTCTGGTCCAGGCAGCTGTCTTACTCGCAGAGTAGCATGGTGCAGAGAACTGGTTGATGTAGAGGCTGAACAGTTTCTAGCTCATCAATTTATCGACCCAGAACCTGCGAGATGTTGGCTGGCTCAAAGGATGGCTATAAAAATACCATTGTCTGCGTGATGTTGAAGATTTCAGTACCCATGGTTGAGAAATCTTGAGGAAGGAAATAAACGAAATCTTCTTATCTTATAAGATCAGTGTAAAAGCTTATTATGCTGTCATCTCCTTGTTTCATTATCTAACATCTAATGGAGGAGCATGGAGAGCAAAACTGTTTCAGCTAAGTAAATATGTAAGAGCAGTGCAAAAAGTTCAAATGGGTAAATTGTTTTACCGTTTGAATGCTTTCATCTCAATGGTTGATTATCTCATGTATTTCTCAGTTTTAAATGGGAGGATATTGTTGGCCTTTTTGTTTTGATGATGTTTTAACAAACAATTTATAACTAATATTGTTTATGTAGTGTTTGTGTTTTCTTATTTATTCTAGACAAACAATCAGTTGGAGGTTGGATGGATTGAGCCTAAACGATCACATCAAATGGAGGTTTGCGGAATATCGGAGTGAAGCAATACAATTCAAGTCAATTCAAGATCAAGCTTCATCCGTATAGTTTTCCAAGTTGAGCTTTATTGTAGATCAAGATAGCTTGGGTAATTTAGTTTAGGAGTTGTGTTGGTACTTTAAACTCAATTATATACACACATTGTTTTTGGTTTTATAGTTTTCACGTTTTTATAAATATGAAACATGTATACTTGTTTACATATATACACGTTTCATATTTTTCGATTTTGTTTAGCAATATGTTTAGCCATATATATATGAAACAAATGGATATAGCTATATATATACACATATTTGTTTTATATCTATACATGCAAATAAACATGATTTTATTTATGGATTAAAGACGTTTATTTGCAAAATTATGTGTTTACGGACTTAAGACTTGTTTATACCATTTTATATCTTTTCCTAAGTCTATAAATCCATTCAAAATGCTTCAAGAATTTGTTTAAGTCATTTTGTCAAAAACATGTGTTGTGTTTTCATGTTTTTGGATTATTTTACAAAATGATGAGTTTTCACAATTGGGAAGTGCAATTCCAAATTTTCTTTTTGTAACATGTTTATTTTTATGTTTACAAACATTCCCTAAAGTTTTACATTTTTTGAAATTTATTTGCTATTTTTAAAAGAGGTTTAAAGTTCAGTTTTACTGTTCATTTCAGGCTGATAACCTGTTATCAATCGACTGATGAACTTGCCTGAAATTGCCAAAAATTTTTGTTTTTACGACTGATAAACTATCAGTCAACTGATGAGGTCATCAGTTGACTAATGAAATCTTTAGTCGACTGATGAGTTGTAGGCTGCCTATATCGATCAGCTCATCAGTCGACTGATACTGTTCATTAGTCGACCGACGGCCTCTAACGATTAGTTTTTCCAGATTTTTAGGTTTTTATTTTTTTGTATCTTTTTCCTTGGTTTTCTCTTGGTTTTGGGGCTTGTTCTATGATCCTATATATACCCCATACTCTCTAACTTCTGAGGGTAATTAAGAAGAGTTTTAAACAAGTTTAAAAGGGTGTTTAAGTTTTGTTTAAGTGTGTTTTCAAGATTTGTTTTGTGAAGAAAGTTTCACAAGTGGAGAAGATCATCTTCATTGTTTGAGCCTCAATTTAATCTATCTCTCTATCTTGTTTTCAGAGAAGAATTTCTAAACTCAATTCTAGCTTTGTATTTATTATTTGTTGATTATCATTTTCATTAAGCTAGAGTTTATATTGAATTCATATTTGATTTTCTCTTTGTTTATACACAACCATTGAGCTTTTAGTATTTTCATACATTGTATAATTTGGGGTTATGAGATTGTGTGACTTAGAGAGTGAGCCTACATTGTGTTCTCATCCATTGTAGAGAACAATTTATTTGTATTCGTACTTAATTGTGAGATACACTTTGTAATAAACTTGTACACCGAAAGGAGTGTGTGGTGAGAGATTTGGTCGGTTCTAAGAGAAGTGGCGTCGGTAGTAAAGTCTAGTGAGATGTGGTAAATCCGAGCACTTGAGGAAGGACACGAGCTAGAGACCAACACTTAGAGAGTGTAGAGTGTGATTGCAAGAGTGCGAGATTGTAGAGTTTTCAGTGAGCTAAAAGTCGAACTTGTGAGGTGTAAACGTTTTGGGTGAACGTTGAAAACCTATTGTGTAGTGGATTCTTCCCAGGAGTGGGGAGCGGAGACGCAGGTCGGAAGGAGCAAACTCCGTGAGCATTTCTTTGTGTTTGCGTTTGTCTTGGCCTATTTTTTTTTGTGTTTTGTTATATTTTATATCGTCACTGTTGCATGTTTATTTTACCCTTATTTATATCACATATCCTTGCTCATATAACTTGTTGAATATCATACTTGCTATGATATTTGTTAACTAAGTTTTAATTGGCATTAATATCGGATTATATTAGCATTCACTCTATTCATCCCCCCTCTGGTGCTTTCAGATATGTTTCAAGTTAGATGTTTTAGTTTATCTACTTGTTTATCGATGAGTCTTGTGATGGGGCTCTTGGGACGCAGTGAACTTCTGGTCTGCACTAAATTGCTGTAAAATGTCTTAAAACTTATAATCAACTTACATTAACATTACTATTTCATTCTACTGTAGCATGTAACGAAAGTTCTTCCTTACATGCTCCCCCAAAGTCAAGCCCAGCATACATTTTACTGGCAGACGCGGAAAAGCTATTGTTAGTAGTATGTACCAAACAAACTTTGCATGCATAGAGATTTTATTTTACACATCAAGATCACAACCAGGAATACAAATAGTGACAGTATCTGGAAGTGACGGAATGGGTTGGAAGTAGTGGTGATAAACCGTATCCTTATATAAGAAAATGTCTGTAACCATATCCGTTAGGGTACGGATATGATTACTCAAATCTACAACCGATACGATATGGTTACGGATATAGTTTGTAGTGAAATATACGGATCCGTATCCGAAATATTCGAATACATTTTAGTCATACTCTTACGATAATTTTAATTTTTAGATTATGGATTTGTGGTTAATTTGGTATGATCAAGATGTCTGATCTTAGCTTTTCAGTTATAATGAACATATTAACGAAATCTTTTGTATCACATGAACTATGTTTTTCCTCAATACTATCTAGTTTTCTCATATCCGTTTTGTATTCGCATGGTTATCCGCTTATATATCCGCATGCATATCCGTAATCGTATTCGATTTTAGCGGATATGAATATGAATTTTCCTTATCAAGCTACATCTGTATCTGTCTGTATCCAAGATGGGTAAGTAGATATAAATATGGTAAGTATCATATCAGAGCCTTATCCGAACCAAGTGCACTCTTAGTTGGAATTCCTCCTGCCATAGTTTAGTTTTTAGGGAATATCTTTGACTGTTTAGGGCAAATTGGTCATTTGAGAACAATGTACATTTTGTGAATTTCCTCCCTCATTAAATGCTCTCCCCCAAACCCCAAAAGAAAATAATAGTAATAATAATAATAACCATTCATTCTTTTACAACCATGTTTACAAATAATTGAAACCTAAAATCAAATTATAAGTAACGGATTCAACGTTATATTAGAGATTGTAAGAAACAAAAATTAAACGCCAACATAGCTCTACTAATATTAAATTATAAATTATAAAAATTAAATAACTGTTATAATGACCGACATCATTTACAGAAGAGTAATAGAAAATTTACACGAGGAAATCTTTTTGCATTTAGATAAATAATAATTGAAATAATATAAAAAAACAAAAACAAAGATATAAAATGCAACCCATACTTAAATAAACGTAAGAAAGTGTATGTTAATTTTCTAACTTGGAAATAACATCGTACCAAAGTTGTTATATATCCATAAAAAAACAGATCCAATAAAATTGACATATTTTTCAAATATGGCTATGAATATTACTTTTTCAAATATGGCTATGAATATTACTTCTCATTTTAAATGTTTTCTATTAGGTTTCTTGAAACTACATCCATCAGTTTCTATTTTTCTTACTTTAAATTTAATTTCTGTTTTCTAACACGTGCACTATGCACGTGAGAGTTAGCTAGTTGACAAGAAATCAGCAACTTCAAGTAGCAGGTATCCAGGAGGGTCAAGGGTCAGCGATCTTTGATCAACATATAACTATTTTTTGCTATACTGATTATTGAGGAATAGTAATTGTTTGATCAATGAATCACTACAATCAACAGCAAACTTACCACTACATATAAATAAGTGAAGGATCATATCTTCAGCTTCCAACTTTCTGATTAGCATAAATAAACTGCTACTCGAATCAAGGATGTCCAAGTATAAAATCGTCCGTTGTAGTTCGTGAAGCAGAGAAATTTTAACTTAAGGGATTTGCCTTCCTACTGAGTAAAAAGGTGCCAGTGGTGATCTGGTGACAAGTTCTCCTTGATTTTCTCGAGCTTCTTGAGAATCTCAATGAAAGAAGGCCTCTGGTTCACATCAGCAGCCCAACATTGCTCCGTCAACCTGAGAGAAATCAGCAGAGGAAAGAAAGTGACATAAGCTGAAATAAGCCAGCAAATTAAAAAGGGTTATGACCCCAGAGTTCGCACCGTAGTTAACTTTGATACCCCCAAAACTTTTCGGCCCAAAAAGTACTCCCAACTTAACTTTGGTATCTACAATGACTTGTCGGGGTATCAAAGTTGAAACTTTTTTGAAGTTTGCAGTGTTGTTTGGGCAAAAAGGAAGCTTCGGGGTATCAACATTAAAAAAGGTGTAAACTTTGGGTTATTTATGTGCAAATGTGACGGGGAAAAGCCACATGAGAGTTTTCTTTTTGTGTGTCTGTGTACCTGCCCTAAACATAAGTAAATGAAAGAACATGATTCATGCTGCTGAAACCAAAAATTTGGAATCAAAGCTATTTTTGTTCTTGTTGTTGTCACATGCGTTTCTCTCATGCTTCGGTGAGAGGATGATGCCAAGTTGACTTATTTTCTTACGAACAGGACTCAATGTTTACTTTGCATATATAGCTGATGAAATTAGAGTAAAAACACAACAAATCTTTGGTGAAAAGAAGATATCAAAAGTTAAAGTTCGACTATTTGCTTTACAACCAATATGGTTATGCGATTATAGACAGAAGCCATGCACGGACATTATGCAAGAAGAAACAAAAAAGTGGTTCAATTTTGAAGATTTTACTAACTAAGATTTTACGAAACCGAAAAATGATGAGAGCTACAAGATAACTTTTGCGGAAGGTAAGATAAAGTACGACAAAGGGAAAATAAAATCACCCCTGAAGGTAAGTAAATATAGTATAGCCAACTTCTTACTCTCTTAGTTCAGGAAGATATCCTTTTGCACGAAAAATTGGACGATGCCCCTGAGAGACATACTTAGCAGCCTCATAAGCTTCATAATTAACTAATGGAGGGTCTCCTTCAAGCATCTACATAAAACATACAAATGACTTATCAAGAGAAGCCCAATATTTGATCAACTGTAGCGCTATGGAAAGATAAATAAATAAATAAAATAAAACTACCTCATACAAGATCATGGAGAATGAGAAAACGTCAACTTTCTTGTCATATTTTCTATGCTTGAATACTTCGGGTGCCATATACCTATCTTCCATCCTCAGAAAGGAAACAAGAATAAGCTCAAAATATAATATAACTTTTCCCCCTTCAAGAAAAACAGATTTAACACTCACAACTTCCAGTTTCTCCAGTCATTTTATATACGTCATGGGAATTCTGGACTTTGATGAGCTTGCTTAATCCAAAATCTCCGACCTTTAGATGATCAGCATTGGCGTTCACCAAAAGGATATTCCTGAAAGAAATTTTAACTTTAGTGAATTCTAGTCGTATCAGCACCAAATAAAAAAAATAGCAGTTGAAATCACCTTGGCTTTAGATCACGATGAATTATAACATTTGGCTCACTGTGAAGATATGCCATACCCCTGTATACACACAAGCATAAGTAAACGTTAAAGAATGATATGTTCTACCAGGGAGAATAAGCTAGAGAAGAAAATTATAAACAGCACATATAAGAAAATTACACAAATTACAATGAATTACGATCTTTTTCAAGTAAAAAAAACTTGATGCTGTTAATGAGAGGTTTAAAGTACCACTTTGACTTGAAGAAAGATTACTTGCAGAAAGACCTCTGCTACAGTAAGGAGGTCTTTTCGCAAATTGGATTACCTTCATCATCTCAAATTCCACCCCCACCCCCCACCCCTCAAAAAAAAAAAAAGAAAAGAAAAGAAAAGAAAAATCCATGACAAAAGCACATATGTATGTCGATGGATTTAGTTGTTGAGAAATATTTTTTTCTCAGAATAAGTTTTTGAGACTTCCATGGTGGCCCCACCCTGTGGATGATCCATACTGTTGAATGTTGATATTGACCTACAATCCCAAACTAGTCCATAATGAGAGACCAAAAAGATTTAAAAACTTCTTACCCACGCATCAATTTACCTAAGCAACTCAAGTTTTCTTGTAACCTATAAAAATGAAAGTCCC